TATATATATATATATATATGTGTGTGTGTGTGTGTGTGTGTGTGTGTGTATGGGGGGTTAGGTTCACGTAAAATCAATCTATTTTCGTGAGATAATTTTTTTATATTTGAAATTTCATAGCAAAACGCTGTGAATATACCTTCATTAAAAATCATTTTTTATAAATGAAATACTATACATTAATGCATATTACTTAAAATTTAAAATTACAAGTAAATTGTATTTAAGTAGAACTTAAAATTTTATTACATGTTGTCCATTTAAAAACATATGATATCATCATTTTATGTGTATTTAAGGATATTTTAAACACTTTCCTTTTTTCCTACAAATATAGTGGGTGGCAGCCATATCTTCTTGTGACTTGGGTGCCGTTTTTGAGGTCTCCAATCCATGGGTTCAAAACAAGAAGCGAAGCCACATGTGGTATGCGTACCAATCCCAGCACAAGGCCACATCAACCCTATGCTCAAACTTGCCAAAATCCTCCATTCCAAAGGCTTCCTCGTTACTTTCGTCAACACTGAATTCAACCACCAACGCCTCCTCAACGCTCGTGGCTCTTCTGCCCTCGATGGCCTCCCTTCCTTCCGTTTCGAGACCATTCCGGACGGCATGCCGCCACCGGAGAACCCAGATGCCACCCAAAATGTCTACTCGATATGCAAGTCCACACAAGAAACTTGTTTGGAGCCGTTTAAGAGGCTTATCGCCAAACTGAATGGTTCCTTTTCGCCCGTGACTTGTATAGTGTCGGACTTGCTTATGGGGTTCACTCTTGATGCTGCCAAAGAACTTGACATCCCGGAGTTTGTGTTTTGGACGGGTGGGGCTGGTTCTCTCGTATGCTATGATCAATATCCCAATCTTGTGGAGAAGGGTTTCATGCCTCTAAAAGGTAATTTAAATTTTCTTTTTCTAATATCATGTGAAATAAACCCATACTTTAACGTTATTTCTATAAACTGCACAAACTCATTCAACCAATCATAATTTTTCATTTTGTTTGTAATTATGAGAGGTTAATTAATCATTTTTATTGTGAAAGATGTTAAACATGGATATTATCATCTTCATTATACTAATTTTAGAAAAATACATGAAACAATTTCATAAGCATTATATGAAACAACTTTGTCAAAAAAAATATTATATGAAATAATTTCATAATCAATTATATTTATTTTTCATATTTTTGACTTCGTGATTTTTGACCATATGCCAAAAATAGACCCAACCTTGATGTACATATTCTGTATTTGTGGTTTAAATGCTCATGCTTACTGAATATCGACATATTGATGCAATTCATATTGAGCAGTTGATAAATAAATCATGTTTACAAAAATTAGTTGATGAACGTATAAAATAATGAAAAAGAGTATATTAAAAAATTAGTCAATTAAAATATTTTTTAATATTATTGTTAAAAATATATAATAATATAATATGTTAATTAATACTAACTAGATAGTATAGTATATATATATATATATATATATAATATTGATTAAAAGAATTTCAAATTGATTATCTTTTACATATACTAGAAGAGTATTCGTGTAATGCACCGAGACACATCTCGATTGTAATGTTTTATTTTATTCTTTGTTTTTTGTCGATGTTATAATACGATTTTATATGTTTTTAAGAAAACAATAATGATTTTATTTGTGAATAAAATATAAATTTGAAGATATATCATAAAATTTTGAAAAAAAAATATAAATATTAATATCAAATCAACTATTTAAAAGTTATCATTTTTATGTAATTTCTTTAAT